GGGATATATATCACTCCTCTTCCCCTCCCAAAGACTAGTAAGGGACATATAGGTATCTTTGGATGTTTCTGGAAAGCTAAAAGGAAGTCTTAATTTTCTCATTCCTGCATAAGCTATAACATTGATAAGCAACGTTGCCTCCTGCCAGCATAATTAGAAGTGCCAAGGGTCCATTTAGTATATTTTCAACTAAGGCACCTTAGTTTTGGAATTTGCACTTTGAGTTCCTGGTGATGGTTCTGCATGTGGACCTGACTATCTGTGATTCTTGCTGTTTGGGCCCCAGTTTCTCCATCTTAAATCAGGTAACGCTTTAGTGCCCTGTGAACTCTGTTACTACATGATCCTGTATTACATCTCAGCTGGGAGTGCTTTCCTGCCTCTGTCTACTGCCTGCAAGCTGGGCCAGCGACACATGAGAAGTCAGTCACAAGGACACTTTCTTTGATGCCATGTGGCAAAATGCACTTTTAGAGGGGAAGAAAGAAGGCAAGCCATAGTGTCTTGTCATCCATTCACTCTGGAAATATTATAGGGTACCCACTATGTGTCACAGCAACTCTAGACTGAGTAAGAGAGAGTAAGTGTAGTCCCTGCTTTCAGGGAGCTTACACTCTGGTGGGAAGAGAATTCAGCCAAGCAGATACACAATTATAAAAGTTATAGAGAGGGTTAGGACAGAAGATGAGGATGCATGTGGGGGAGCACCTAGTCCAGCTGAGAGGAAGTGAGAGAAGCCTTCCTGGAAGAAAGGATACCCAACAAGGTCTAAAGGAAAACTACTCATTGCCTCTCCTGGCATCATGGGAAACTGCCTGGCCTAACACAGTATCTCATCCGACACTTCATCTACTTTTCTTGTCTCATTTTATTGTTTTCCTATTCCTTTCTTCAATGCATTTGCCTTCTTTCTATATAGGTGGGATAAGGTAGTAGAACCATAGGCAAACACTGGCAGGTTTCAATTTCAGATCTTTCTAACACCTCTACCACCATTATTTCCATCACCAAGGACTTCCACCACACTCACCATTACCATCCTCATTACAATCCTATCATCACCACCATCGCTCAGCAACTCCAAAACCATCAACAACACTCCTGACACCATCAAAAAAAGTATACAAGTGACCTTGCTTTCATTAGTCCCCAAATCATGTATAAAGTGGTTTAATGAAAATTAAGGGAATATTGTTTTTCTAAATTATTCAATCTAGAACCTTAAATCGTTAAATTTCCCCATGTTTTTTTTTTTTAACGTGTGCTTTGGTTTGCAAACATCTTAACTGCTTAGATCTCTTGAGGAACATAGCTCTTTTAAGAAGTAAGACAATGGAGAGAAAATTTTCATGATGGGAAGAAAGGACAAGCATAATTTTAAAAGTTCATGAAATCTCTTTATTCATTAAGCAGTTTTAGTTAATCGGTCATAACTAAAGGCAGAAATTAATTATATCACCAGTACTACTCTATATAAATATGATACATAAAATGTTTATATTTATATAGTTTCTTATGTTATATTTAGGATATATTTATATGGAATGCTTATACATATGATCAATGTTCATTTTTTAAAAGATTTATTGTTATTTATTTATGCATACAAGAACTGAGGTGTAGGCAAGAGGTGCAGGGTATAAGAGGATTCATCAGAGACAGTGGGGAGCAGCGGGCAAGACATGCAGCCATGTGGGTCAGCAGCCTGGCTGGCTGAGAAAAGAGTTAAGGAATCAAGAGACCAGACCAGACACTCATGAGAAATAATAAAATGTTTATTGTTTTAAGCCAAAAAATTTAATGTGGTTTGTATATAGCAAAAAAAGCTAACTGGTACAGGAGCCCTATCTTTGAGAGTTTTCCTACTTCCTCATTAGCCATTCTAAAAAGCTTGAGTAAAACATTTGGTTTGAGCCATACTTGCCATAAACATGACCTTTCATTTTCTTTCAATTCTAAAAGCTCTGATTCTCTTACATTAACCTTTCTTTCTCGGTTATGGTCTCTACAGAAGACAGGAGCTGTGGAATAAAGGTAGTAAAATGAGGCATGATGTTAAGAGTGAGAAGGAATTAAGGTGGTGAGAGTAGAACACTTAGGATGGTGTTCTGAGAGAAATTTGTTCTATTAAACCAGAATCTCTATGAAACTCCCTGGCACTGACCCCCAGATTTCCCTAATTTAAATTGTAAACATACATCTAAAATTCTCCCTATGTTCCATTCTTTAACACTTCTCCGCCTTTTATATGTTCTAAAACACAGATTTCCATTTTGGTAGTTTTTTTGGTTGTGACTGGGCCCCAACTCAATCTTGGAAACCCAGATTATCTGTAGGCTTCAGCCAAGGGGAGTAGAGGTGCTCACATGTCCTCAGAGCACTACTTCTCCATCTGTCTAGGTTCTGCTTTCCTCTGCATTGGCCTTCCTGGATTCCTCAATCACTATTGTATTCTGTGGATCCCAGAACTGAGGGGTAGCAGCTGTCTATGGTGTCCCTCCATCTTCAGGGACCAAACCTTTCTCCTCTGCTCCACCTGTTACCCTAATCATGTTAACTGCCCCAAGATCCATGCAATTTCCCAAGTCAAAAACTTAGAAGTGGGCCTCCCTGGTGGCACAAGGGGTTAAGCACAGCACTATGAAGCTATCCGCAGCCTCTGCAGAATGAGTTAGATCCCTGGCCGGCCAGGGAGCTACCCACATGGCGCAGCAGACCTCTCCCATCTCACCCACTGCTCCCCTCAGCAGTGTATTTCGTCAGTCTCCCTGTTCTGTTCCCTGCTCTGTCTCTGGTGAATCCTCTCACCCCCTGCACCTTTGACCAATACCCCAGTTCTTGAATGCATAAATAAATAAATCTTTAAAAAAAAACCTTAGAAGTTATCCTAGACTCCCTATTAGTCCCCATATCTAACAGATCTAACAGATCCTAAAGTAGAGTCATTCCTATATAACCTATGCTTTTAGAATTTGTTTTCCCTCTCCATGCCCACTGTTACTGTCCTTTGTCATGCATTGTTATCTCTGTAATGGAAGAAGAAAATTTCTTCCTAACCAGTCTTTGCTTTGCTCCCTACATACCATCTATTAAAAATGTAACTTGAGGGCCTCCCCGGTGGCGCAGCGGTTGAGCGCTGGGTTGCGAAGCTGCCCGCGGCCTCTGCGGCGCCGGTTCGATCCCCGGCTGCTCCCCGGCCACCAGAGGAGGGTCCCACGTGGTACACAGACCTCTCCTGCCGCCCGCTGCTCCCCTCAGCAGTGTACTTCGGTCCTTCTGCCTGCTCTGCTCCCCGCTCTGGCTCTGGTGAATTCTCTCACCCTCCCGTGCCTCTGACTGTACCCAGTGCTTGTATAAATAAATAAAATAAATCTTAAAAAAAAAAATTTTTTAAAAAATAAATAAAATAAAAATGTAACTTGGAAAAAAGCATTCTCCTTAAAATGTTTGGTTATATAACATGAATAACCTGTTGTACAAATTTTGGGTACAAACACCATCCTATTTGTTGACTTTTTTTCTAGTTCATCGCTTGAACTTCTAGCTGCCTTATTGTCAAAATTTAGGTTGAGTTCCCTAGAAACAGCTGGAGCTGGGGTAATTATTATTACTGGTTAGTAATTTTAGGGGCCTCATTGCTCCCTGCCACTGGCTTGGAGCTGAACTCACTGTTTCATCCATTCTACTTGTTTAACTCTAAGGGATAGCCTTGGGAAAAAAGATCAGGGATTGGTGTTTCCACACAAGAGGTCCAGAACTCCTCATGCAAATTGCTTTATCCAGTGACAAGTTCTATGACCTAGGGTCCCAGAGTGAGGCCCTGACCCAAGTCATAAAAGATTCCTTTATGTGAGAGTCAAAAACTCAAAAGCCTATAGGAACCAGAAGTCTGACAGACAAGCCAGCAGCTACCCAACAGCAATCATGAGCAAGTGGGAATAGGTCACACACAGTGGCCACATATATAGGTTGTTTTTGGTTTGTTTTTTTTTTCAGGAGAAAAAGTTCTGACTTGTACGCGGAATTTTGTGACTTTAAACTGTTAGCTTGATTCTTTTTTTTTTTAAAGAAGACAAAACCAAACCTGTCTGGGGGCCCAAAGGTTGACAGTTGGTGAATTTGGTTTTATGGCCTAATCCCAGAACAATGGATGCCCACTTGCCCTACATTTGCATAACGGGTGGGGGCCAGTGCAATGAACTATAACTAAACAAAGATCAGCAGTGAATTGGCTACATAAGGTTCTCTAACTTCAAGAAAGGATAACCTCCTTTAGCCTAGCCTGTGTGGCTTCCCTAAGGTGGCTGCCACCCTTCTCTGAAGTCTTTCTGTCACAGGCTCCCTCACCCACGCCATAGTTTCCCACCGCAGGGCCTGTGTTCAGCGTTCTATCTTTAACACACCGCACCCAGGCCTCCATGATGGCACAGTGGGTTGAGTGCAGCGCTGTGAAGCTGTCTGCAGCCTCTAGCTGGTTCGATCCTGGTCGGCAAGGGAGATACCCACATGGCGTGATGGCGTGGCAGACCTCTCCTGTCTTGCCCGCTGCTCCCCTCAGCAGTGTATTTTGGTCTTTCTGCCTGTTCTTCTCCCCACTCTGTCCCTGGTGAATCCTCGCACCCTGCCACACCTCTGGCCTGTACCCCAGTGCTTGTATAAATAAATAAATAAATCTTTAAAAAAAAATACCCGGCACCCGTTATCCAGTTATCCTCCTTCAAGGTTCAACACAAACACCCCTTCCACTGGGCAGCCTTCCTTTCCCTGATCTATGCTTTCTCTTCTCCTAAGAGCACTTCTCCTTTTAGGGCAGTTGCTCCACAGCCCTAAAGTTTCTTTACAGGCCTGTTTCCCCTCCTGATGGACGCCCCCCCAGCCAGAGGGCAGAGCACTGGGTTCATTCACCTCTGTGTCCCCACAGCCTCATTTGTAGGGGCATTTGTAGGGGCATGTTAGAGGCATGGGCATCCAACTTGAAAAACAATGAATCTGACCATTACCTTTCCCACTCCCGAAATCCTTTTGTGAAAAACTGGTTATTTCATTTTAAGACATTCAGTTGAAGTCTGACGTTTAAGAGAAGGGTGGGAGGATGGTGAGACTCCTCTGCAGACTTCCATCTGTGAAATGACCACCTAGTCGCGAAATACAGTTGGAAAGAGTACGTTTTCAGAATTTCTCGGCTTTGGACCTAGCGAGGCTCCCAAGAAGAGTTCCAGAACTCGAGAACGGCTAAACTGACTCTGGGTGCACGAGCTTTTCCACCGAGCCTCCAAGGTCCTCCGCGCTCTACCAGCCAAGACGCTCGCCGCCTGGGAGGGGAAAGGGAAGCAACTCCTCTGAATAAAACACTTCCACACTGGCGCTGGCCTAGGGCAGCCCACGCGAGACAGCAGCCGCAATCGAAAAAACTGCAGAATCCACTCCTACACTCACTGAGGTTTGCCGAAAACTGAAACTCCAGAGGCAAACACTCAGCATTTACAGGTTTTCGACCAGAATGCGTCCCAGCCCCGCCAATCCTTTCCTCTCACCCTGCACGGCGCGCACGCACCCGGGCCCCGGGGGCCTCCGCGTGGACCGGGGGCTTCTGGCACCTGGAGGGATGCACCTCTGGAAGCAGCGACGGCAGCGTTTCATTCTTAGGACGTTAACTCCAGGGAGGAGGCAGGCAGAGACAAAAGCCTTTCTTTTATCGCTGCCATTTCAAATCCCAGTTCTGCAGCTGAAAGGGAAAATGCCCCGGGAGAGGACGGCTCCGGGGTGAAGCGTGCACGCCCGCGGTACCCGCCAGCGCGCCAGCAGCCCGCCCGCCGGCTATTTATACCGCGCAATTATGCAAGCGGGTTCCAGCCATTCACCCGCACCGGGAGGCGCGCGCGCCGGGGGTGGGGTGGGGTGGGGTGGGGTGGGGGGGGCACCCTGCCCGGGCGTCGGGTCAGTTTCTAAGTTTGCATCATCCTGTTCATTACGAGAAGGCTCGGGTTTTCATTCTCGCCGGCGGGTCTTGGGGGAGACCGCCGGGCTGCAGACTCGCTCGGCACACCCTGGCACACCGGGCACTTACTTAAACACAATAAAGGCGGCCGAGCGCCGGGGGAGCGGCCAGGGCCGGGCTCCCGGCGGGCCGGAAGGAACTGATAAACCAGGCTAATGACACCCGCTCCCTCCCCGGTCGGAAGTGTCCTCCGAGCGCCGGTCATTGAGAAATACCGAAGGCGCAGAAAGGGGGTGAGTTGAGGACAGGCCCGGGCGCAGCTGCGCGCGCTCCGCGGGGCGGGAGCCGGGGCGCTGAAGCCGCGGGGGGCTGCTGAGGGCGGGGCAGGCGCCAGACGACTAAGGCGCAGTGGGGCCCTTCCCCAATCACCCCCTTCCCAGCGCCGCGCCCCCCGGGGGGTGGAAGGGTTGGGGATTTATCAGATCCTCCCCCTCGCCCCTCCCTCCACCCCGGGGAGACCTACACTCCCCGCCCTACCGGACCCCGACGTGCGAGAGGTGGGAGGACCAGCGAGGGGGCGCAGAGGAGAGATTGCTGAAAAGGATAAAATGTCCGCTTCTCCCGGCGCCCGGGCCGGCCAGGAGGGGGCGGGGGCCGGGGCCGGGGCTGCCGCCGGCTGGGGAGTGAAACTGGCCCTGCGGTCTACTGAGCATGCCCGTCCCCGGGCCGGGGAGGGGCGCTCCGGCTCCGCACTCCGGGCTTTCCGGGCGGCCGGCGGGAGGCGCCCGGCGGAGGGTGCTCTCGGGCCGCGGACGCCGGGGGCCGGTAGGTGGGGGAACTGCTGGGGGCTCCGCTAGGTTACCGAAGTTACAAGCAGCCCGACTTTACTTCTGAAGCTGTGCTATTTCACTGAGTCGACACCCTTAATTCGATGGTGTTCAGAGCCACCTGCTCCCTTTTGCGGGTTGTGGGGAGAGACATAGACGGGTACTTAGTTCTTTAAGCATTGTGATTCAAGCAAAGTCCTAAATCCATCACACCCTCTGTTCTGGTAACAATCCAATGGACTTTGATAACACCGTGACATTTAGATCAATAAACAAATCAACGTCGTTTACATAATCTCTTCATTCATTCTATGGTAGGATTGTTTCCAGCATTTGGATACTTGGGGATATGGACATGGCAGAAGAGAACTGAAAAGTTTCCTTTAGAAAGGTTTTCTTGGTTCATAAAGCCAACTGGTCACAGGTGCCCATGGCGGCCTAAGAGCAGATCCCAATGGGACACCCGAAGCTGAAAGCTGAAAGGCCGTGCAGAGTTTTGCATGACAAAGTGGAAGAACAAAAAGATGTATAAAAGACAGGGTGAAACTTCAGGAAGCGAAGCAGTATGGCCTGGATTGGCAGAACCAGGCCCAGGTGGAAGTGACAAATTCCACAGAGAGTGGAGAATTCCCATAGACTTCTAGAGATTCCCACCAATCACTATGACATCCCCAAGTCAGCTGGATGGAGTCTTTTCTGGCCTGGGGTGTGGAATGGCATCAGGAGGACTGGAAAGTGAGGTTGGGTCTATGTTTGGTGGCTGGTATTTTCTAGAAACATTCTTTTACACCCTTATTCTGCTGAGACAGTGCTTTTCAAAGCATTGTACCCTTGCTCTAGAACCTGATTAAGACTGCCCTTTCACTCTAACAACACAAAACAAAACACCATTTCTTTCTTTCTCAGATTTCCTTATGAAGGACCAGGAATAGAGGGGAACATTTGGTGACCCACCTGGCCAGAGAGAGAAAAGAGTTGTCAGGAATCTCCTATTGCAGTGTGCTTAACACAGTGCCTTCACTGTATAGTCATTTAATCTTTCCATAATGCTTTGTCGTGGGGATTATCCTGAAACTATATACTGAATTGGAGGCTCAGAGACTCCAAGGACCTTCTGCAGTCTGGCACTAAGGCAGTCAGAATGGAAACCTGGTGACTAGTGGACCTTAGAAATATTTTCTTTTGGGGCCTTCGTGGTGGCACAGGGGGTTAAGTTTCAGCACTATGAAGCTATTGGCAGCCACTGCAGCATGAGTTTGATTCCCAGCCAAGGAGCTGACCTACATGGCACAACAGATGTCTCCTGTCTTGCCTGCTGTTCCCCTCAGCAGTATATGTCAGTAGATCTGCCTGTTCTGCTCCCCACTCCATCTCTGGTGAATCCTCTCACCTTCCTCCCCCATACCTCTGGCCTGCACCCCTGTTCCTGTTCTTGTATGCATAAATAAAAAAGTTTAAAAAAAGAAAAAAAATTTTTTTTTTTTGCTTCCCAGCCTGGTTCTCAGGCTTGACCAATCATTCACTGCTATTAGCACAGAGCTGGATGAATGAGTGGTGACGAGATCACTCAGCCTGCTCATAGAACTTGCCTACCTGCAGGAATTAATAATTACTCACCTGCCACCTTGCCATTTGGTCACTCTGAAACTGAAGGATAGAGCCAAAGAGATACCCATTGGGTTCATAATTTTGACATGAACAAATGTCTATGTTCCTGGAGTTCCACAATGACTGAGTGGGATCTTCACTCACTCAGTAGGGAAAAGCAACAATGTCCAAAGGTGAGAACTGAGTAGATGACTTAGCCTTCTGAGAATTTAGAGACCATTAAGATCTTGCTTCAGTCCTTTTTCTTAAACTTTCACCTCCAAAACTGTGAGAAAGGTAAGTTTGCTTTGTTGCCCTGTTTTATAAAGAAACTGAAGAATTACTAAAAGATGGAGCTTCTCACAGCTGCTAGGAGAAAACCAGAACTTAGGTAGGTGTTCCTCCCTTGTCTAGTGCCCTTTTCACCACCACATATAACACCATTCAGTATCAGATAGGTGAATCTAAACCATGTGCACAAAGGTTATGGTAAGCATAAAACCCAGGGTAAACCACTAGTTTCTCCTTGACTCAAGGGGAAACCCTTTCCATCTTTGGTGCACCAGTGGCCCCCCAAATGCATGTATATACCTTTTTTTAAGATTTATATATTTATGCACACAAGAGCTGGAGATTCACCAGAGAATGGGGAGTAGAACAGGTGGATTGACTGAAACACACTGCTGAGGGGAGCAGCAGGGGAGGCCAGAGAGATCTGCTGCGCCATGTGGGTCAGCAACCTGGCTGGGGATTGAACTTGTGCTGCAGTGGCTGGCGATAGCTAGATAGTGCTGTCTTCAACCCCCTCCACCATCAGGGAGGCTGGCACGTATATACTCTTTAGACATATTATATTTAAGGCGTATTATTTAATCTTCCCTTAATAGTTCAGTGATTGCTATTGTATTAAAATCTCTTTAAAGTTCTTGCACATTCAGAAGGATGGATTTAAAATGCTATTGTAATTGGAGAGTAGGAAGGGGCAGGGACTCTACTACTGCTGGCTCCAGAGCATGACCCTGGAAGGAAATACCCACTGTCTAGGTGATTTGTGAAACCCATTACAAAGTAAAAATGCAGAACCTCTTGTTCCAAGACTGCAACAACAAAGAATTAAGCACAGATCCCTTTGCAACTGCACAGGCTGTATGCCCAGGAAGCCAGCCCTGCCCATTGCCTGGATAGTGCCCATTGCCTGGATAGTGCAGCTTTGGGAGCATGGGCCCACTCAGATCCCTGGCTAAGTCTGGGAAAGTAATTCAAAGACAAAGGATGTGAAGAAGAGGATTCAGGAGCTTTTTATTCTCCCCATTTTACTTTACCAAGGTTTTCAGAGCTGGCAACCCCTGGCCTAGTAATTATGGCCTTCAAGGGCCTGGGGCAAGGACCATCTTCCACCAGCATGAGAGATTTACTGAATAATTAACACACACACACACACACACACACACACACACATATATTTGACATACCTTTTATGTAGACAAAGTGCATCATGTCTACTGAAATGCTAACGTTTCTGGGGTGTATTGGATTTACTTCTTTTTTTAAAGTACAAATAATGATTCCTTAAAAATATCAATTTCCCTACCAAGACAAAAAAGATTACAAGATCTAGTGTAACTGAAAAACCTGCCATTCAGAACCTTGGTACCTATACCGCCCCCACCCTCCAGCCCCACATTGGGGGGTAGTTGCTCTTCAGAGCCCAAGTACCCCTTTTGCCCTCCCCTGAGCTCCCGGTGCATGCCTCCTCCTCCCGCCCCTCCCTCCCCATCCCGATTTTTAATCCAGGGGTTTGGTAGGAGGAAGGGAGCCGAACGGGAGCCAGATGTGCGCGAGTTGCAGGCTCCCGCCTCCTCCCTCTTCTCGGGCTTCCCAAAACCTGGAGCGAAGGCGGATCCGGAGCCAGACAGACGCGGCGCAAACAACTCCGCTCCGCGACTCCTGCGGGAGGCGAGCCAGAGGGCGGGGTGTGTGTGGCGCGGTGCGGGGGGGCGAGGGGGGAGCCGGGCATGCTCAGTAGGCGGGACAAAGTTTTTTTTTCCTTTTTTTTTTTAATTTTTTTTTTTTCGGTCGCAAGTAGGAAGCTTTTTGCACTCCACCACCTCTGGCCGCTGGGAAGACGTCATCGCTTCCGCCCTACTTCCTCCTCCTGTTGGCGGCGGTGAGAATCCAATATGGAGTAAATCGGTGGAGTCGAGAGATGGGGCTCGGACGGGGCGCCCTGCACCGCCTCCCAGGCGCACCTCCCCCGGCCGCCGGCCGCTCCCCGGAACCGTGATTGGCCCGGCCCCCTGGGGGCTACCCGGGCCGAGCCCCCGCCCGCGGCCGGCCCTCTCCACCTCCTCGCAGCCGTCCCGGCCGTTTCACCGCGCGCTTGTTTTTCTCCTCCTCTCCCCCGTCCCGTCCCTTGCCCAAATCTCTCCCCCTCGCCGCTCCCAAGTCTCCGGAGCCCCCGCGCGCCTCGCCCCTCGGCGCTGCGGCGCTCACCGCTCCCGCAGCTCGCTTGCGCCCTTGCCCCCTGCCGCGCCCCACACTCGGGTCGCCCAGCTTCCCCTCTGCCTTCTACCGCGCCCCCTTCATCTCTAGCCACCCCCCCCCAAATCAGGCGATCTCCGGAGATGTGAAGGAGGGGGGTTGAGCGGACAGGAAGATGAAGGGAGCAAAGCTGCCCGCCGCGGGACAGGCGTCTAGGTGAACAAGAAAATGACCGAAGAAACACACCCGGACGAGTAAGTTTGACCGCGGGGTGGGACGAGGGTGCCCCGAGGGGGCGGCGTGGGGTCCGGGGCTGAGGAGCCGCCGGGCAGGGACGTTCGCTGGGTGAATTCGGCCTGGGGTGCAGCTCCTCGCCGGCCTGTAGGTTTGGGACCTGAGAGGCCCCCCTTGCTGTTTAAGTGAGGAGGGGGCCGGAGCTGCTGCGGGCCCGCGGGGGCGCGCCTGAGGTGCGCGGGTCGGTGGCCGCTGCGGGGGCCAAGGGCGCGCGGGTGACCTCGGGGCGGACCTCGCTTGCTCTCCAGCCTGCTCTCCAACCCCTCGAGCCCCCCCGAAATCCTCGGTGGCTGGGACGGAAGATCGGACACCCCCTGCTCCGGCTCCCTGGGGTCGGTGGGTTTCTACGTGATGACTCTGTGACTCTCGCGCCCCGCCGCTCGCTCCGCGGTCCCTTCGGTAGCCCACTGGGGCCCAGGCTCCGCCATTTCGTTTTCTGAATCGCTCTCATTTGCATACCACATTTTCATTCATAAAAACCCGGCGGAGCTCGGAGAAGACTGGGCGCGAGCTGCGCGGGGGTCTGCGTGAGCCGGGGTCCCCGCGCGGGCCGGCGTGCTGGAGCTGCCGGAGGGGTCCGGCGGGCGTGTGGACGTGTGTGCACGCGCCTGTGGGCCCGGGACGGGGGCCCTGTGGGGCCGGCCGCTCGCGGGAGGGAGGAGGGGCGCGGGCCCGAGGCGTGTGCTGCGGGGGCTGGCGGGAGCTGCGGGCCAGTGCGTTGCGGGCCGTGTGTGTGCTTGTGTGTGTGTGTGCGCGCGCGCGCGTGTGTGTGTGTGCATGCATGCATGCATGCATGCCCGCGTGTGCGCGTGCACAACGTGCGAGCCCGAGGGGAACAATGCGGCGCTCCGCGGGATGGGCTCGGGGCAGACCCGCCGCCCCCGGGGGGACCGGTGTCTTTTGCCAGCTTGGGGCCGAAGTGCCGCTCGCTCCCGCCTCGGGGCCGCGGGATCCGGTTTGGCTCTTTTCCCACCCCCGCCCGAGGCGTCTTCTATTGAAGGTGCTACCGAGACTGGGCTACGGGGTCGGGCGCCCGAGCCCCCGGGCTTCTGGTCCGAGTGGTCACTGCAAGGTGGCCGCCGCCGCTGCTCAGTGACTGTGCCCGCCACCAACCACTTTCTTCTTTTCTTTCTTTTTTTGTGAATAAGACGCTCTCCTTTATTGTCACATGATATCCCTTCCCTCCTCCCCTGCACATTCATAAATCCGGTGGCTGCCTTGGCTCCTTTCATTCAGAGCTGCCATTAGCCTAGGTAGCTGTGTTGCGGGCCTGGGCGCAAGTAGCGGGTGGGCATCCGCGGGGAGGTGCCCTTTAGGGAGACGCGGTGCTAGTCTGCAGGGGGTTGGGAGCTGCGGGTAGCCAGCTGCGGAGGTCCGGGGTCTTCTGCTCCTGCGAGAGCATTGAGACTCGTTGCAGAGAGGGGAAATGACTCAGGGCTGGGCAATCGAGACGGCTTCTCTTACAGCAGGTGACAGAATACTGTGCTCTACTCTTGAGAGTCCACTGACTTATTTTAATGCCCCTTTACCCTTTGGCATCTGCTGTTGCCAGGCTGGACAGGAGGGGAGGTTGAAAGGGTTGGTGTTTGGAAAGGGGAATTTCCTTTATGTGATTCCTCAGGGAGCATTGACTGTAGTAACCCGTCGTCTACCAACAGTAGGTTGCTGGAGAGGATGCCGCCCCGTGTGCTTGTCCCCACTTGCCACCACATCTAGGGGTCTTTCCATTTTGGACATTTGGGTATGGGGTATGCCTTCATAGGCTGTGCCATAAAATGGTAAGATGAAAGTTGTATTTCCAGGGCTAAAATAGAGGGAAAGGAATACGTTGCTGTTTTTATGGGTTCTCTTTTGTGTGCAGCACACATAAATGGCTGCAGTAGCCAGTGAGAGAAGGTTGCCATGCTCCCTGCGTGCTTCAGTATTCTTGGAGATTGGTTTGACTACCCTAAATTGGTTTCATTGACTCTGTCCCTTGGGATTAGCCTAATAACCTCTTCCATTTTACAACAGCATGTCAACTTTGCATCATACCCCATCTGGAGCGCAAAGCAAAAGGATTTTGGGTGGGATCACCGGCAAGAGGCTCTGAGAGCCTGTATTCCAGGCTCTGCATAGAATTGGTGATCCCTACTGCCTCTGAAGCCCAGTTGAGACAGTGGATATTTGAGGACAGGTTCTGGTTTCATGCAGAGAATCTGAAAGCTGTGGTGCCTTAGCCCACTGCAGAAATGGCCTTCTTGGGATTACTTTTGGGATTACTTTTAATGTAATGACCTTGGCATGAGACAAGAAATGCCTGGTACTAAAACGGCTGCATGGGTTGTAAACTGCCATTTGTGGACACTGCCCATTATATTGTTCAACATTCTTATGTAATGACCCATCTGAAGAAATTCATTTTAATTGTTAGTGCCAGGAAGAAGGTTTCGGAGCTTGCTGTGCGTGCTTTTTTGTTGTTTTTATTTTTGCCACCAGTGTCTGGAAGCTCAGAGCTAAAATTACTGCTTGGTTACAGTAGCCATATTTGCCTATGCTTTTGCTAGATTTATTTAAGCCTCCTTTGTGAATTTTGATCTATTTTCTCTTCTAACGGTTTTATCTGAGGTCCCTGAGATGCCTTTTGGAAATAGGCAGGGGTGGGTGTGACATCAGACTTGATATCTAGAGGAGATACAGTTGTGCCTTAAAGGAGATTTTGATAGGTTAAATATATTTAAGACTTTTATTAAAGATTCAGATATTTAAATATTGTTACATTCATATCATAATAAGTCAGAATCTTGCAACAGGTATACTTGAGCATAATTTACAACAATAGTAAATTTTTGTCTTCTAATTTTTTCCCATGTCAATTTAAAACAACTCTAATAAATACATGGTTATTCAGGAAAGCTTGAATGCTCTTTTCACTGGTGGTCCTAAAAAATAGTTTTCATAATAGAAAATATACCGACCCTTCTCCTTTGGCCCTACCAGATAGAAATGCACGATTTACACCATGGCAGATTTATAAAAAATACAACTTAAAAAGAAAAGAACATCAACAGATTATTCAAAGTGGTCTTTTATACATGGGAGTGGAAATTTTTTAATCATACATATTTTGTCTCTATCTTAAAAGCATTTGTTCATGACTTGAACGATTTGGAAATTCGCAGACAAAATGAAGAAACTCTTCCCAAGCAAGCTATAACTCAGGAGACATCAGACTGACATTCAGCTTTCTGTTTTGTTCTTCACAGGAACTCTGCAGTGCACGTATCTTGCTGAGAATAGATTTACAGCTTTGCTCTCAGTCATATTTTTCCTTTTAAAAGGTTTCCGTTTTTTAGAAAAAGACATATATTTTTTCACTGAGCTATTTCAAAGAAATTACATGTATCAGGACTCTCATATCTAAATACATGAGCTTACTTCCTAAAGATAAGACTACTCTTCCATGAAACCCAATGCCATCACCACACTTTACAAAATTAAGAATAATTCCCTGATGTCTTTAACACTCAGTCGCAATTGTTCAGAGTCTTTCATAACTGGTTTTTTCAGCCAGATGCCAATCAGATCTAGTGTTAGATGTATTCGTAATGTATGCTGAAGGCTCAAGGTTGAGCCATTTGCTTACTTTCTGATCTAAGGCAACATTTTTACCTATCTCACCTTGGGTTTATCTGAGTGAATAAACTGGGGATAAATATTACCATTTCGTGAAGTTCCTGTGAAAGTTAATTGAGATAGCCCATGTAAAACTTAAAGGACAGCACCAAACCAAAAATAGGTGTCTAAGTGAATCTTTGCAGGGCACTGAACTAGGTTTCTTAGAGGCTCAGCTTGTGAATTTTCAAATAATCCTGTGAAGTAGGTGTTACCCCATGTAAATGATGAGGCAGTTTAAGTAGAGTTACTCAAGACAGCAAAACATTTTTTTAAAGATTTATTTATTTATGCATACAAGAACTGGGGTACAGGCCAGAGGTGTGGGGGATGAGAGGATTTACCAGACACAGAGTGGGGAACAGAACTGAAATACGCTGCTGAGGGGAGCAGTGGGCAAGTCAGGAGACATCTGCTTTGCCATGTGGGTCACCTCCCTGGCTGGGGATTGAACTCGTGCTACAGCGGCTGCAGATAGCTTCATAGTGCTGCGTCTTAACCCCTTGCACCACCAGGGAGGCCCCAAAACATTTTTTATATCACTTTATTCATTTAGTCTTCTCAACAATCCTGAGGTAGATGGTATTATTTACCCCCATATTTAGATGGGGAAACTAAGGCACAGCGAAGTTAAGTAATTTGCTTGGGGTCATACCATTAGTAATTGAAGGAACTGAGATTTGCCACCCCCCCACCCCCCCTCCCCGCAGACAGATCTGGAAGGGTTGGATTGTTTTTAACCACTGTAAAATACTGTCTGAGAAGGGGATAGGATGGCCAGCTGCTGTCATTCTGACTTCAAAACTCTGATGTTTCTGCCAGCCATGCTGTATTTAATTCTTCTGAATTGGTGACAATTTATCCTTGCCATACTTTTCCACTTCCCTTATCTTCCCTGAAAATATGATGAGTCACATACTGAGTTAAGTAAATTTAAATAAACTTGACTGTGAGAATTCTGTGATACCCGTGGTGTGAATTCAGAGTTATCACTGGAATATTAGCTCTGAATTCATTGACATAATAATTGTGGAAACTAAATCTAGTACAAGTATTGATCTTTTTTTTTTTGCACTAGTCTGGAAAAAGGAATGTTTCTACTCTACATGAGTGAATTCCTTAAATGTTAAAGGCTTGACTGTGCATAATGGGACTCTTGATCCTTCCTAAAATCTTAGAAGACAAAACAAAAAACTTGAGAAGACCTTAATGAACTTATAAGCCAGGACATACGCATTTTTTAAAATCAATGTCATTACAGAAAGTCATCATATCAAGTGCCTACTGCAAGGAAGCAGATTGTTAG